CAATTGATATTTATTGAGCACTTATGTCTGGCTGTACCCACTCTGGCATTCCAAAGTGATGAACACAGGCTACCTTCCTCCCTTCACAGAGTTTTGTTTTGTTTTTTTTTCTTGTGATGGTAAATTAGTTGAGCAATTCTGACTCCCTTCTAAGCCTGTCTTAGGTACCATAGTTTTGAAGGATTTATTTTAAACAACAGTCATGCCATTGAAGGGAGCCAGGTGAAGCTGCTCTGAAAGAGAGAGGTCTTGAAGATCTCTGTCTTCCTCTTCTTAAAGACTGTCATACTTACATCTCCTAAAAAGACTGTAGGCAAGATTCTTAAAACATAGGCTGATAAGAAGTTAAACCAAAAGACTTCTAAGGCGTCTTTCATACCTAGGATTTGGTGAATTGGTGATAAACCAAGGAAGAGGGATCTCCCCAAAATGATCCCAGAAAAACACAGAAACCCCCCTAAAAAAGTGCCACTTAATTCTATGTAAGTGTACTGAGCTCTAAGGAGCAGGCAGCTATGGGTTCTGTCTATCACACTATTGGCCCTCGTTCATCCTTTACCATTTTGAGCAAAGAAAGTCTGGAGACTAACGGAAAAGTATTATGGAGCATTTATTGATCTCTGCTTCTCACTGTGAACTGAAGCTAGAGACTTGTTAAGCTAAATGAGCTCAACTGAGACTGCAGCTGTCAACATTTATGCAGAACCTGCATGTTTACATCTGGGTCTGCAGCGGTTTTCTTCTGACCAGGCATAAACATTGTACATGGACAGTTTTGACCTGGGTAGTTACTTAAAAGATTAAGTATGACCTTTTTTTTTTAAAGTGAATATATCAAGTTGTGTTATTTGCATTTCAGAAATAAATATGTTTAGAATGTATTATTACAAAGTGTTTTTCTACTTCACATTTGGTAGCATTTCCTCATGATCAGTAAGTATAATTATAACTTCCTGCTTTGCTGAGTGGGCAGTGTTAATTTCACTTCAGTGTCCTCTGTGGTTGTAGGGAACGTTATAGGGCAGTGGTTTTCAAAGTGTGGTCTTGAGACCAAGAGCATTAGCCTCGCCTAGGGACTTGTTAGAAATTCCCCCTGCTCCCGGTGGTTCTGATGCATACTCAAACTTGAGATCCCTGTAGTAGGAAGATGAGCCTTAGATCAGTAATTTTATTATTCTGAGATTCCGACACATCCTTTGGAGGCATTGGGGTGAATCACTGGGCTAGATGAGTGAAACTTTCTGGGAGATGGTCAGTTATGTTGGAGTCATGCCTGACCCTGTGACCTTTTTAGGATACTGGTTAATCAAGATTTGTAAAGTTCTGTTGTCTTTGCATTTACTACAGATGTACTGATGACTCCAACCACTACTACGAGTTAGACAGAAATAGGAGAAGATGAACGTTGTTTTACAATCTTGGGCAAGCTTCTGGTTGCAGACCTTTCCTAGAAAAGTAAAATGTTCTTCTCTTTTCTGAAATAAAGGCTTTAGTCTTACTGTACAATGCCTTGCACTTGGGATTTCTCAAAGGGAAGCCACCCATTGACAGTCATTGAGAAAAGACATTGCAGTGGTTGGGGTGCTCATGTGGACTTTGAAGCTAGGCTACCTGGGTACAAATCCTGGCTTGGCTACTTGCTGTGTGTGTGACCTTAGGAAAGTTCCTTTACTTCTCTTAGTCAGTTTCTTCGTTTGTAAATCGGGCTGATAGTCATGTCTACCTTTTACTAAGTTTGAAGCATGTAGTGAGTTAATACATGTTGAATTCCTGACACTTGATAAATACTCAATAAATGTTAGATATTACTATTATGACTATTGTGTATGTATATGACATATTGTGTAGTTGTATGACTACAGCTGTGAAGATAACTTATTAGAACAATAAGTGAGACTGGGAAATATATATAATCTGTCAGATAGAGACTAACTATAGAGTCAGACACACACAGGTTTGATTTCTTTGCGTGCATCTTATGGCAAGTAATTTAGCCACTCCTGAGCCTCGATTTTCTTATCTGTAAGATGGAGATAGTGCTTTCTGCTTTACAGGACCGTTGGGAGCAGAAACAAGAACGTTTTGGAAGAGGCTGGTATACTCAATACAAAATGGTATCATTCTTTTTATTGCTGCTTGCTTTTTTCAAACTGAATTTTAAATAGCAACTTCCCTTTCCTATGGAAATCCAGGGAGTCTGATTTAGACGAAATGTGTATATGCTGTGGAATGTCCCATATGCCACTTTGCTATTAGAATATGACTCATTATTTCTAAACTTAGTGTTGCTTTATTTGTATGCTATTTGCTTTTCTCAGAAATCCCTATGTTCAGATCAATCATAAACTTTAGATAATAAAGGAAAGTAACCTCAATTTAGTGCTTTTTTTGAAGCCACCACAAGTCACTCAAATAAGGTGTCTGACCAAGCAGTGACATAAAAAGGAGTAATATTTTGATAAGCAACTGTGGCATTTTACATTTGTACAAAGCTCTTCTTTTACAAGGGTTTTTAAATTTTATTATCCTTTCTATTGAGGTATAGTTTACATATGGTGAAAGGTATAGCTCTTAAGTGTGCATTCAATCATTCTTGACAAATGTGTAGACTTCTGTCAAGGTATAGAGCATTTCCATCACCCTGGAAAGTTTCCCCATGCCCCTTCTCAGTCAGTTCCTCATGTAACCACTATCCTATTTCCTATCACTGTTGGTTAGCTTTTCTTGCTAGAACACTTCATATAAATTGAATGATGCAGTCTTTTATGTCTGTCTTTTCTCCCCTTAGTATAATGTTTTTGAGAGTTGTCTCAGTTGTTGCACATATAGTTTGTTCTTTTTGGTTGCTAAATACTATTCTATTGTATGAATGCGTCTCAGTCTGTTTGTCCCCTTTCCTGTTGAGGAACACCTAGGCTGCTTCCATTAGTTCTTTTCATCATCAATGTAATGACATAAAAGAAGCAGAAGGTTCTATTATCTCCATTTTCCAGACTTGAAAGCTGGGGCTCAGAGAAATGAGACAATGGAAGTTCCCACTGCTGGCAAATGATGAATTCGAGAGGAGAATCTGGTCTGCTAGTTTCAGAGCCTCTGTTTTCCTTCCATTTTTACGAGGCCACTTTGCTTCTGGCATTTACCAGGAGTTCTGCCCTCTCTGACTCCAGGGTTCTATTGAACTCTGCCTTCTCTTTGAGAAAGACCCAAAACATCAAAATTCAGGAATTCAGCCCTACTCTGAGGTAGCTTTTGGTAAAGCCTTGGTTTCTCAGGTGGAGTGAATGGATTTCTGAAGCTGGCCCAAGGGTGAACCAGAGCGGGGATCTGGGCGACACTGGGTTAGATCATATATCTTTAGATCTGTTCTAAAGATATTCTGAAGATGCTGTAGGAGAGAAGCTTTGTCTTCCAAAGTGCAAAGGGAAACAGGATGGACATGGAGGACAGGCTTCTGTTACATCCCATCTCAGCCACACATGAGCTGTGGGAGCTCAGGCAACTCCCTCTGGAAGATTTCTCCATCTGAGTCTGTTTCTCCCTCTGGAAAGTGGTAGTTTAATTCTTCCCTCCTGGATTCCAGTGAGGAAGTTCCTGACACCGACCTGCTCGTTCTGTGCTGTTAAGAGTGGGCTTCAGGGAGCATGACAATGTGCTGTTGACCTGCTGTGGGATTTCCACTGTGTGGAAAACTAGCCCTCCCCTTTGTCTCTGAAGACACTAATTCATAATTTTTAGACTGTGAATAGAGACAAGAGAGTTCATTTATCAATAGAGTCCTCACAAAAATAAAGCAAGGGAGGGGCCCCGAGGGACTCGTTTGCCTTGAGAGCTGGGGAAGTGAATACAGCTAAATGTGTCCTGTGAAGACACTCTTTTCTCATCCCTTCTCAAGAAGGATGCAGCCTCTTTAGGAGGATACCCCTTGTTCAGAATGCTGATTGGTCTGTGCCGGGAAAGAAGGCCTGTAGGAAAAATAAAAGGAGAAAGCATTTTACTACCAGGCTCCCATCACCCATTCCTGCCCTGTTAGGGATTTAGTAACGTCTCTGGGCCTCAGTCTTTCCATCTGTGACCCTTAAATAGCGCTCTGACACACACCTCAGGATGGATGTGAAATTGGGTGAGTTCAGTTTTCTAATAGTTTACAGGGATATAAAGTTTTTGGTTAAAATATAGTATTTACATACTGAATACTACGTAGTTTGAGGTCAAGTGTGCCGTCTAAGAAAACCTTACAATCTCTGAGAAGATTTGATATGTGATGACTTACTAGTAGTATACATTGAACTGCGGTCAAAGCAAAAATTAGGAGGACTCTTACAAGAACTTAGGGTTAGATGATTCCCTTGGTTACTAAGAGTTTTGGAAGGAAATGTCAAACAGTTCATGACATTATTGAACTTGTCTTCAACCGAGATTGAAAAAAGCTGATCGCAAGTGTCTCAACGAGTACTCGCTGCTCTGCACACCAGCCTTGCTTCCTAGCATTTACCTTAATGTTTCCCAGGTTCCCAAGGAAAGGACACACTTCTGCAGGCTCTGCGTGTGCTTAGAGGGGGAGAAACAATCCAAGTAGTCTAGAAATAAGAGCACTTGCAAAGTTTTTATGCAGGAAACTGAATACTAGGCTTCCTTTATGGCTTTCATTTTAAATTGGCATTTAAACACAGTCATTCTGCTGACTCAGCTTTATAATGGAACAGATCCCTTATGTGTGGGAGAAAGAAGGAATGAATATGCCTCAAATGTGGGGTGCCTCTTTACGTGAAGAACATTTGAGAGGAAAGAGATGACCATTAGACAAAGTTGAAATAAGTTACAAGGGCTAAGAGTAGGGTAGAGAAAAAGACATCCCACGCAGTGGAGGTTTATGTGACAATTGTTTGGTTTGGGCTTTTTGCTGGAGAACATTTTCTTTCAGAGTTTACATTATTTAATGTGTTACTTTCAAGTGTTTTGCATAATTTGCAGATTTATTTATATATCTGTCTCCCTTCTAGGCATAAAGAAAAAGACACTGAATTTCAGATGATGACTGGACATCCTATTTTAGCCACTTCTTTAAAAGGTAACATTTATTGAGTGCTTTTTTGTGTGCCAGGCACTGAAATAATTACTTTTATATATATTGCTTTATTTGACTCTCATAATGATCATATAAGAAAAGTATTATAATAATAATAATGTAATAATAGTGTATTTATTATTATTACATTATTATTATGTCAGAGATGAGGAAACCAAGGCAAGAAGTTGTCAAGTTTAGGCAATTATAAGTAGCAGATGTCAAAGACAGAGCATTTGACTATGGCTTTATACTCTATTGAACTTTACCCTGTATTGAATTTCTTGATGGTGAAAGTCCCATCTCTTCCCTCTTGGTACCTTGGTACCTTGAGCACTCAGTTCTGTGTCTTTAATACAATGTTTGTTGAATGATTTACAGAACCCAAACATCTTTAAAGGGACTTTTGCAAAACTACTTGTATCCTTAGATCTTTTCCCCACCATGAACATAATCAAGAGGTGGACATATTCAGGGAAAATCTGGAATCCCATTTGGAAAGATTAGCTTTGAGATGTCAATTAGACACCCAAATGTGGATGTTGGTTAAATAATAGTATTTATGGGGCCAGAGCATAAGGGAGAAGTCAGGGCTGGAGACAAAAATATCATCATCTTCAGTGAATAGATGGCACTGAAAATCACGGACCTGGATGAGATCTTTGATGGGCTAGGGGTTGGGGTGGAAGAGAAGAGAACTGAAGACTCAGCCCTGGGCTTCCATAACTAGCAGCTGGGCATAGAAGAAGACAAAGTGAGTTGGAACAGAAGAACGAGGAGTGAGGAACCATGGATGCTAAGAGAAGAAATTGATTTGGGAAGATGAATGTAGACAGCTATGTCCACATGCAGTTGGATGAGGACAAAGAACTGACCACTGGCTCTGGTGTGGTTGAAGGTCCTTGATGAGCGTTGTTTCATGGACACCATGGGGAAGAAAGATGATTAGAGTAGTGGGAGAGAGAATGGAAAGCAAGGATTAGTCAATCCTTTAGCGTTTTGCTGTAAAAAGGAGATAAGGGATGGGGTGAAGTTGGATGAAGATGTAAGGTCAAGGGAGAGATTTTTTTTAAAATAGGTGATATTAAGGTATATTTTATGCTCAAGGGAATGATCTAGTAGTAAGGGAGAAACTGAAGATGCAGGAGAGAATCACTGGAGTGATGTCCTTGAGGAGGCAAAGAGTGGAGGGGACCAGGTCTCCAATAGAGGAGTGGAGCTTCTCCCATATTCCAGGAGCAAAGGCAGAATATATGATGCTGATGATAACATTCCTTCTTTATGTTCATATTATTAAACTCTCAAGAGCTGATGGGGTTTGCTTATGCCAACTGATACAAGTTTATTCTTTTGAATAAATATATACACAAAGAATATTCAGTCAGAAGCTGATGTGAGCATAAGGTAAAATTTAATAGTCAAAGGTGATTTCATTATCAGACCCGCTTTTAATATGGAACTTTAAACTGCTTGCTATTTTCTACAGCTGTTATCTCAGATTAAAGGAAGAAATTTGCCCTAAAAGTAAGTGCGGCAAGATCTTTACTAAAATGGTAAAATGTGAAAGTTTTCAAATCAAGAAATGTGTCTTCTGATTTTGCTTAAAGAATTTAAGTCTTCATGGAAGCAAGAGGCATAATGGTATCTATAATCAACTGTTGTAACTTCTGTGTACTGAGAACCTCTCCTATTCCTGGCACTTTTCAAACATTCTTGCTGATCTTTACAACACAGCAAACAAAGTGGTTTTATTGTAGCTTGACAAGTGAGAGAACTGCTAGTGAGGTTCTGGAAGGTTTAATGATTTGCTGAAGGTCACCCAGCAGGTAAAGTGAGATTTAAATTAAAGCTCATTCGACATTCAGAGTTGCTTTCCCTCATACATTGTGTTGATATAGTAAATGTTTTAATGTAAGTAATATCCCTGTTTCACATGGGAAAAACATTTGGCTCAAAATACTCCTCTATTTTTCTTCTGGTCTAGTGCATAAATATGGCTAAAAGGAAGGAAGAAGGAAAATCTGGGTAAAACTAGAGAGGATGGTCTCATGAACTCTCGTATCCTGTGTTCTACCTTCAATAGATTGACTCCTGGCCAATCTTGTTTTATCTCTATCCAATTCTGGTTTTCTCTCGCTTGACACTAGATTATTTTGAAGCAAATCCCAGACATCATATCATGTCATCCATTAGTCTACTTCTAAAAGATACAGATTATTTTTAAAATGTGACTTAAACAGTATTACTATATGTAAAAAATTAACAATAATTCCTTAGATTTGCTGAATATCCAGTCAGTCTTCCAGACACCCCAACTGTGTCATGAGTGATGTTATATTCAGCTTGCTCCATTCCAAGCAGGGGCTTTACAGTCTAGCTTGTTGAATGGTTTCTGAAGTTTCTGTTTCTACAGCCTTCTTTTTCCCTCCCCCTGGCAATTTGTTTGTTATTTGTCCTGTCCAGTTTCCACATTCTGGATTTTTGCTGATTGTATCACGGGGCTTTGGTTTAACATGTTTTTCTGACTTGATGTTTCTTGGAAATTGATGACTGCTTGATCAGATTCAGCAGTTTGAAAGCAGGCCATATACTATATATCTCAATATTTTAAAGGTCTAGACGAAACTAGTTTAAAGTTATAAACTAAGGCAGCTGGCCATTCCCACCCATCGTCCCTTTCCTGGAGCTGAAGGAGCCTCATGTTCCCGGGAGTCATCTCGCCCTAGAAGTACCTGAGTAATTGCCAGGATCCGCTGGGGCAGAGCAGGGTGGAGTCAGGGGTTGGGGCTGGGGCTCCTGGCTGAGACTCAGAAGGTCAAAGTCCCCTGGGAGCCGAGGGAGCAGGTCGCACTTCCCCATACCTTGCTTCTCTAACTCAGGATTTCCAGGCAGTTGAAACACCTCTCCAGATGATGCCTCTGAGTGGAGGGGTCTGGGGAGACCAATTGGCTGAGACCCTCCTTCTGTCAGTGCTCCGCTTTTCCCCCATGTGGGCCCTGCTGGCTGTTGCTCTCTTCCGTCCTTCCTCTGCTGCTTCTGCCCAGGGGATGGAGGCCTTCTTGGCCCTGGACCTCATGAAGAGGGTCTTTGTAAGTTGGGTGACTCTTCATCTGTTGCCTGCTGAAGATACACTGCTGTTGCACCCAAGCTGGGCCAGCCGCAGAATGTCCCAGAGATCAGTTGTAAGAGCTGCCCAACTCTGGGAAAATCATATGCCCACTTTACTTAAACGCCACAGAGGACAGATTTGAATACGTTTATGTTATTGAATCCATCATTTTTGTCATCAAAAAGTCATACAGTTTGAACCAGATTTTCTCATTTCAGTTGAGGAGATACAAAGCCACTCTTACATCTTAGATTTTTCTGTGGTCACTATGGAGATGGCTTCCTTTGTGTTAAGTTTTACATAGACATTTTAGAGAGACAAAGAATTTGGGCGACTGGGTTCCTTAAAGATCTTTGATGGTGAGGGAAACCAAAAGCAGACGTTAGGGACAAACCTTGAATGTGAGCTGCTGATGTTTTAATTGGGACATGTCACTGGTTTGTGGACGGTGACAGGGGCTGGCTATGCTTTGCAGATAATGATGTCCGTCTTCACAACTGTTCTCCCTGCATATTTCCCATCGTCAGCACTGACACAGCATTCTGTTCATAGCTTGCCCTTTGATTTCAAAGAGTTATTGAGTCTATAACTGGTAGCATCGGCTCAGAATTATAAAGCACATATAAACTCCACTGAAAGTAAATATAGGGAAAAAGGAAGGGAATTTAAAAAATGTACTGATGCCCAGCAAATCTGAGTTTTGGGTCTCACGGTTTGTTTTCTTCATCCAAAGGCATATGAGCCATTAGGCTGGCCTGGATGTGTCCATCAGGGTTCCGAAGCTTTTCCCAGGAGAACATTCAAGATTCAATTATCTTTACCTTCCTCTCCCTTCTCCCCCCATCTCTTTCACATACTCCAGAACAGCCCAGCAGTAAATTTATGTTTAGCCCCTGTTTAAAATGAAAATCTTGCACAAAATTTAAGTGTTTTAGTATAAACTATTTCATATCAACAAGTTACCCCAAATCTTCAGGTAAAACATATACTCCAGAATAATGTGCCCTGCTACCTGAGACTGAATACTACGGGCCAGCCTCCTAATGGTGCGTAAAATTCCATCTGAGAAATAGTGGACAAGGACATTTCTGCTAAAAGCGGTGAAGGACCATTGCCTCTGATTCCCTATCATGTCTGAAATCGCATTTGAAATGATGGTCCTTAAGCTGTGTGTTCTCCTTGACAATGCAGCTAAAAAGGGGAACATAATAAATTATTCACACCTTATTATGCCCTAGCAATGGCTAGTGGTCGCTCAAAGAGAACTTGCATTTAAATAATAATAGTGGCATAATAATTGCTTATAGGAGAAATCATGAATGAAAATTGAGTGGCAGTTCTATATTTTAGAGATTGAGGAAACCAAAATAATTACCTGTAGGTCATGGAACTGGTTACTGAACTCCTAGGGAGTCTGGTCCTCATTTAATTATTTTTGACTACTTAATGCCCAGCATATAGGAAACACTAAATAAATGCTTGTCAAATGAACGACTGGGGAAAGGAGGATTCACATCTGAGGCCACTGTGATTTCTGTTTGGGAGAACCGGAGGTTCTCAGTGACTTAGAGACAGATTTACATTAATTCAAAGAGGATTTCTGCTCAGGATCCCACTCCTCTCCCTGGAACCAGGGGCTCAGATTTCACCTTTACTGCATTTATCCATTCTGTGTCCTGTCCTGTGGCTTCTTCCTTTGCAAAGCCTTCCTATTAGTTTTTCCTGCTTTTCTCTGGCTCAGGCCTCAGTGCCTTCCCTGCTGGAGAATGATACTAGCCTTCCAGCTAGGTCTCTCTGCTTTCAGACACATCTCCCTCCAAATATCCCGGTAGGCTGTCTGTAGGGTAGTATTACTAACTCACACATCATTCATGCTACCCATGGCCTGAAAGCT